GGATTTTGTTCAAATTTGGTACATACATTAAACATAATAGGACCTTGATGCACGTCTTTTTTTTTTTCGGATCAAGTTCGAAATGGCCGACTGGCGGCCATTTTGTTAAAGAATTCAGTTCTGGATCCGTATTCAAGACATGTCTGGATTGATCAAGTTCAAACTTCACACACACATGGTACATCATGTCACAAATAGATATGTGCCTTTGTTTCATGATCTGCTTAACAATAGCGGAATGATGGCCATTTTAAGGCCGAAAATGCATCAAAATCACGTATTTTCACAATTCCAGAACCGGATCTCAGTCATGCATGGATGGATTTTGTTCAGATTTAGCACAATGTGTTGTACATATGCAGGTGCATTTCGGTCATGATCTGCTTTGAATGTATACGTCACGCAAATATGAACGGAACGGGGACGTGTCATTGACAATGACTTGTTAATTTTCAGCTTTTGATATTTCAAATAGTAATCATCACATGTCAATGACACTTGGTACATAGATGTCATAGGACACTGCACAGACCTGATAGTTTTTAGGGTAATACGAGTACATATTAATTACCTAATTAGCATAATTAATCAATTTTCAGCTTTTGATATTTCAAGTAGTAATCATCACATTTCATTGAAATTTGGTACATAGATGTCATAGGACACTGCACAGACCTGATAGTTTTTAGGGTAATACGAGTACATATTAATTACCTAATTTGCATAATTAATTAATTTTCAGCTTTTGATATTTCAAGTAGTAATCACATTTCAATGAAATTTGGTACATAGATGTCATAGGACACTGCACAGACCTGATAGTTTTTAGGGTAATATCAGTATATATGCATAATTAATTAACACTGATATCTCAATTACTGATCTTCACATTGTAATAAAATTTGGTACATAAATGTTCTAGGACAATAGACAGGCCTGATTAATTTTGATTAATATTAATTCTCTAATTAGCATAATAATTCATAATTTTTTTGTTCTGTTCTGTTCATATTAGTTACCTGATTTACATAATTAGTTTTCAGCTTTTCCATCAATATCTCATGTACAAGTAATTTTGAATTAATTTTTAATGTGTCTTCAATACTCTCAGCACACGGGAGTTCTTTCTAAGCTTTCTTTGATTTTATTTGTTTTCTGCTGATCTTGTACTTTCGAAACGAAAATGCAAATTTGTATTGAGTTTAAACTGAGCGAGTTGTTTTGTCAGGATTCACTGGAACAACTTACACTTTAGCATCGACACAGATTTAAAAAAATGGCTTACAGTTTTGATTGCAATGAACTTGATTTCCTGTCTACATTTTATGTTAATGATTACCCTATCTTTATCACAGATTAGTGCGTCTTTTCTTTCAAATGTTTACCCACGACACACATCCAATGAAAAGAACATGGTTTGTTTCCTAACCGTCTTTTTTAGTAACCGTGTTGACATGAACTGCTGACATGACTTGTTGACATCGCCTGACGACATATCATGATGACATTGCCTGACGACATATCATGATGACATTGCCTGACGACATATCATGATGACATTGCCTGACGACATATCATGATGACATTGCCTGACGACATATCATGATGACATCGCCTGACG